CTCTGAAACTCCGTAAGCCCAAAATGTGAGAGGTGTGTCTCGAATCTATCAGTATTTCTAGTAGATAATAGATAATGCATGTTATCTGAAAATAACAAATAATTATTTGTCCAAAGGTCATCAAATAAGAATAATAAATAAAAATTGAACACTTAATAGTTTACCATTGTATTGTAGAGGAAGGAGATGATCCGGGATGGTGGTCATAAATAGACTAAAATAGTGGCAAAAATATTTTATTAAAAGCCAACGTTTCGATCGTACTTTTTTCAGGTCTTCAGGGCAAGAACGGACAAGATACAAAAGGATATAGAAAATCGTAGAAGTTACATAATATTTAGATAAAAACAAGGTGAATAAACTTATTGAAATTATAAACAGTAAGTACATTGAAATATTAAGAACAATAAACTATATAAACAGAGTAAACTAAGTAACAAGATCCTAAACTGTAATTGCATAATACAATGATATAATAATTGCATATATTATACTACAACAATTGTTACCGTTTATTTACTTCAGTTTAGGATCTTGTTACTTAGTTTACTCTGTTTATATAGTTTATTGTTCTTAATATTTCAATGTACTTACTGTTTATAATTTCAATAAGTTTATTCACCTTGTTTATAATTTTTATCTAAATATTATGTAACTTCCACAATTTTCTATATCCTTTTGTATCTTGTCCGTTCTAGCCCTGAAGAAGACCTGCAAAGTCGGGTCGAAACGTTGGCTCTGAAATAAAATAGTTTTGCCACTATTTTAGTCTATTTATGACCGCCGACTCGAACCATCTCCTTCCTCTAAGGAATAAAAATGTATCTATCATCCATTATCTAAACAAAATTTCAAATAACTTTATTCGAATAATGTCCAACACTGACATCATCACAACTTAGTTTACATTTCAACTTACATACTAAATTTCACATTATTTTTTTTTAATAGTCCTATATATATATATATATATAATAAACTTAATCTAACGATAGTATAACTCACTAAATCACTTATGTTATCTTATTAGTTCTTCAATTTCTTCATTTGTTAACCTTCAGTTTCTTAATCTGGTCACCTGGCAGTTATCAAGTGTAACCTTTTAACTAGTTTGTTATAAACTGATATCTTATTCTTATTTTACCACAATTTATTTACATTTTATCTTAATGCTAAATTCACCATTATTTTTTTTTTTTGGTCCATTACATATAATACTTTGCATTCCAACTTTACTACAACTCACTACATCACTGATGTCATCTTATAAGTTATTTAATATCTTCATCAGACAACTTGTACAATGCAGCACTTAAAAAAGTTGTCAGAGACACACAAATACAACTGGGTTGGACCATGTTTAGCAAGCCAATACAAATCCTGGCATACACAGACGATACTGATATTATCGGAAGATCACTTTGTGGCGTAAAAGAGACTTTTCTGGCTCTCGATCAGTCTGCGAGGAAGATGGGACTGTCTATAAATGAGAACAAAACCAGACATATGCTCAATATTTCTCTCTTCTACTTCAGTGCTCAAAGAAACGGTCCAACGATTTGTTTATCTGGGCTCCCAAGTAAATTTCGACAACGATGTAAAGATATATCAAAGAGGATCCTGGCAGCAAATAAATGTTAATTTGGCCTGCCGTGGTATACTGATAATCGCTTAATCTCCAGGAAAAGAAAAGCAACTCTGTACAAGAGACTGATTCGTCCTGTCCTTACATATGGAACGGAAACGTGAAGCTTCTCCAAAACAGGTGAAAGCAAGCTGCAGATCTTTGAAAGAAAAGTAGTACTATTTATGGATCAGTACACTTAGGTAACGATTGGAGAAGGCGGAGTAATGCAGAACTGACCGCCATACATAATGAAACGGATATAGTCCGGTTTATTAGAATACAGCGTTTAAATTGGGCAGGTAATGTAGCCAGGATGGATGAGAGTAGCCTAACCAGCAAAATTATACTGACGCGTCCAGAATGAAAAAGAAGATCTAGATTACGCTAGATGGATGGAGTCGACACGGATGGTAGAGCTCTTCTTGGACTAGCAAACTGGAGGACAGCTGCATGAGAGAGATAGAGACAAATGGGTGAGACTAATTGAGGAGGCCAAGAATCAGCAATAAGTTATAGCGCCCATAAAGAAGATCAGACAACTTGTACTTGTTTAATATCTACTGATAATTCATTAATTTTTTTTTTACCTTGTACCAATTTATTTTTATAGTTTGTATATTTTATAGCCCTGATGAAGACCTACAAAGTGTGTCGAAATGTAAGGGCCTATCAAATAAAACACTACTATAATATATAGTATTTAATTTGGCTGCACCCCTAACCAACTCCTTCTCAAATCATAACCATGGTCAACTATTTTCACACCATTATAATTAAAAATAATTATACTCTCATAGTGAAGGAGATGTTTGTACAAAAAAACATTGTATATGTTCAAAATCAATTTAAATTAAAGGGGGAATCTTGTAGAATAAATTTAAATAGATTTAGTTCATATCATCCATCTATATTAGTGACCTTTCTAACATCATTCATCACTCCAGTTACCACCTATATGCCGGTGATTTCCAAATATACCAATCATTTCAATCTTCTGAGATGCCTGAGGCTTCCCGAAGGCTACAAGAGGACATCAACTGCATTAACAGATGGGCAGAAATAAATGAATTAAAGCTGAATGCAGATAAAACCAAGGCTATTATCATCAGGTCCAGACAACTCATCAGCTCCCTTCCTTATTTTCCTCTACTTAACCTCAATAACAGCCCCATCCATTTTTCCCTACAGTCAAAAACCTAGGAGTAAAATTTGACCAGAACCTCTCCTGGAATAACCATATCTCCCAGATTATCCGAAAATTAATAACTGCCCTTAAACAACTCCTAAGATTCCGTGATTGTATTCCTCTAAAAACCAGACAGCTCCTTGTAACCTCCCTTGTATTCCCCCACTTCGACTAGGGCTGTTTGGTGTATGGAGGGCTATCTGCCAGGCTGGAAACGAGATTAAAGAGACTCATGAATTGTTTCATAAGATACATTTTCGGGATCCCCAGGCGTTCACATGTTTCACTCTGGTACACCGAGTTGAAGTGGCTTTATCCTACTTCCCGACGACAATTCCTCCTTGGTGTTTTCCTTTTCCAAGTCTTCAGAACCAAAAACCCTCCCTACATCCTGGAACTCCTTACTCTACGCTCCTCTATCCACTCTCTCAATACTAGGTCTCAACCTATAGACTTATATATTCCCTCCATAAAACTTCCTCCTTCAGCAAATCCTTCGTCATTCGTGCTGCTTCCTTATGGAACTCACTTCCTACCTCCATGCGTCAATCCTCGTCCACAAATTCCTTCAAACAACTCCTGTTCCAACACCTACTCCACATTCAAACTTCCCCTAACATGTAAAATTACTTGCATCTGTACAATGTTTAATTTCAATCCATTGCACAATTGAAATAACAATTAACAGTAAATTAGTTTGTATTTTTATTATGGCAGACTAAGATCCATAAATTTGTAACTCTGTTAGTATTCTTAGGGACAGTAGTCCCAGAATAAAATTATTTTTTCATTTCATTTTCATTGTAATAATAGCTATGTCATATTTCAGTATGATTAAAATTCCATTAGGTGTAAATATTATTAAAAAGTTTATAAAATTAATATCAATTAAAGTTGTTCTTAATCTGATACTTAGAATTTAATAAAACCTCATCAACTATTGCATGTAAAATGTTTTTATAAATGATCACCTTGGAACTCCATGAAAGATTTTTGAACCTTAATTTTGAAGTTATATATATATTATATATAATAAATAAATCATATATAACTATAAAATAATCTTGCTTGATAGAGGGGAGTGATCCTATGGGTTACTACTTACTTTATATACATTTTCAATGATGTTTTTACACAATTTTTAAAATAAATCTGTTTTTTATTTTTGTTTAATAAGCTGTATAATAAACGACCAACAGTCGGAAATAGACTAGCGTATAACAGGCGCAGACAGAGCTTTATTCTTCCTTTCAAAGGTTTTAAAATCCTGAAAAATCTCAAATTATGGGTATACAATGCTATGATATGCCAGTTCTAATATAAGGCTGTGAGACCTAGATACTAATCAGCCGCACCAGAGGGATCTATGATCAGAGTATCAAAATATAGAGAAGAAAGACCAATAAAGAAATACTTACAGATACTGGTCAATCAATATCTCATGATATGAAAGCACAGAGGTTAAGATGGGCAGGGCATGTAGCTTCTGGAATAATCCATTTGGAAGCCTCTACACGACAACGAATTCCTCAATAGTGGGCAAAAGATCATGTGGAAGGACAAAAAGCAGATGGATAGATCGAATCAACAAAGATGCAATAGAGCTGCATGCAGATGACTGAAAAGAAATAGTCCTAGATAGGCAGAGATGGAGTAGGCTTCTTATGGCGGCAAAAGATCAACAAGGTCTGTAATGCCAACAGAAAAAAAAGCTGTACAATAGAACCTGAAAATTGTTATTGATTTGTTGTAAGAAAAACAAATCATTTAAAAATTTACTAGCTCTAAGACTTTAAAATTTACAAATAAAAATGAGAAACAAGCTTACCCCAATAGATTCATAATAAAGACAAATTTTTTTACAACTTAAACAATTCTGAAATCACGCGAAATTAATAATATTTAACAAAATAACATTTTATGTCCACTATAACCTTCTCATATGATTCAAATCAGATACTCAATAACTCCTTCCTTAGCCTTGCAACTTTATCAATTGTCAACTGAGACAATAGTCGAACTTAAATGTGTAAATAGCAATATATCCGTAACCATGTTCGAAAAAAATTTACAAATATATTCTTGATGATATTTCTGATTACAAGTTCACCCATCTAGATTGTAAGTAGCATACTTTAAAAAATATATACATATTAAACATGAGGTATTACAAAATAAAAACTATACCTCATCACAAACTGTTACAGCACTAACAGGAACAACTTGAGGTAAACTTGAAGGACATTTCAAAGAATATTTGACTGGTCGTTTCGGAGGACCATCAGAATCACTGCTAACATGAACAATTAGATCTTGAAATGGGCCTTCATTTGTTGTTTTATCAATGTCCTTTTTATTCATCTGTTTCCTCCTAGGTTTTCTATTATTTGGTTTTTCAGGGCGTGAGAGGGCTGTAAACTTTTTTTCTGCTTCAACTGAATGTAGTAACTCCTGAAATAAAAAAAAAAAATACAGTAACATAGTATCTTACATGAATCACCTGATCAACACTATTCCAATAACACTTATTAATACACCTGATACTCAACATATAAATCAAATTTTGATACAACAGTGCTGTTTCAGAAATCCGAACTACCTGCTGCAGTGGGATTTTTGGATTACATAGGGAATAAATAAACGAATTTTCAAATGAAAAGTTGCATATTTTAACCTACTCCCCTTACTCTAGAAATATTACAATAGCTCATCTGAAGATTAATTTGTAAATATTAAAGACTACTGAATAACGTACCGGAAGAAGTTAGCCTATTGTTCTATATTTCATAGGTGTTAAATAGTCAGAACACAGTCATTGTTAAGGTTTTTATTGGTATCTTAGGCATCTCATTTATATCAACGACCTCTCTGATTCCATCCACCATTCACAATATCACCTGTATATGGATGACCTCCAAATCTATCTGTCCTTTCATCCTACCGAGATGCTTGAAGAGATACATAAAGTATGAGAAGATATAGACAGCATCAAAACATGAGTAGCGAGTAATGGTTTGATGTTCAATGTTGAGAGGACCAAAGTCATTCTCATTGAGTCCAAGCACCTTCTTAATTCCAACCCTTATTATTCCTTATTCTACCTAAATGGACTACCTATTAGCTCCCACATTTCCATTAGAAACATTAGGGTAATTTTTGATCAACACCTTTCCTGAAATAACCATAATTCTCAAAGTATCTGAAAATCAATTGCTATCCTAAAACAGTTCCTGAGATTCCGTGATTCTATACCCACTAAAACTTGTCAGTTCCTTGTTTCCTCTCTCATTTTGCCCACTTCGATTATGGCTGCCTTGTATATAGTGGACTGAGATCAGATTAAAGAGATTAACGAAAAGTTTCATCACATTCATCTTTGGAGTCTTCAAGTGCTCTTAAGTCTCCAGTTGGTATGTTGAGTTAAAGCGGGTCCATCCCACGGCAATATGTCATAGGTGTATTCCTTTCTAAAACTTTTACAACGAAAAAGCCACATTACCTCCTTAATTTGTTTACTCCTTGTTTCTCTGTCCAGACATGAGATCCTAACCCACAAACCGATTTACTCCTTCTCATGGAACTGTTTCTTTTGAGGAATCATTTGTCATGCATGCTATCTTGTTTTGGAATTTCTTACCAACATCCATACCCAAATCTTCTTCCTTAACCTCATTTAAACACCATTTATTCTTCCACATCCTCTAGCAATCAATCTACTAATTTGAACATGTGGAAGAATAAAATTTTCTTATTTAAGAGCTGTCACCCACATTCTACTATTATCCTACAGATATATGTATACTACAGATGTTATTCTGGAGATATTATCTATACTGCCTATCTGTACAAATATGCAAACAAACTCAAGTATATTAATCTAAAATTTAATAAGTTTACTTAAGCTCTGGTATTTTTAATTTCAGGATTAGATAATTATGTTAATTAATTATTTCTTGATTGTCTTCTAACACTAGACAAATGTAACTTTTCTGTTCATTATACTTATTCTTAGAATGCTAAATATCCCACAATAAAATTTACTTTTCTTTCTTTCTTCTACTCCTAGAACTATCATGAACTCCTCGCTCATTATTTTTCTGGAGATCTAACCTTTGAAATTCGAGCTACATGGCTAGCCCATCTCGCTGATCCCAGCCTTATATGCTTCAAATGTCAGGTTCACCAAGGAGGTTGTATATTTCTTGGTTTCCCTTTCTGAGGTATGTTTGACAGACCCTCCTTGGTCCATAAATGTACTAAATGCCCTCTTAGCCCAAAGTAACATCAGTTAACAGTAACTTTTCTCCTCTCAATTTTCTTGGAGATTTCATTGCCCGCAGTTATCAGAGACCCCAGACTCCAGGTAGACAATTCATCCACTTTTTCTAACTTAATGCTCACTTTGTCTCTCATCCCTTCTCATCCTCTTCTATTGCGACCATACTGGCTCCTATGTATTCAACTTTTAATTTTAATCCTGATCATTTTTTTTCTCCATATTACCCCTGATGACCTCCTCAACTCCATTCAGAAATCATATACCAATGATTATGGACCCGATAATCCCAGTTCGAATGATAAAAGCCTCACTATCATCCATCCTTCCAATCCTCTACCATATCTACAATTACTCACGACAAAACGTTACCTTTCCTACATCCTGAAAAACCGCACTAGTTCGTCTTATGAAGAAGACTTCCAACCCATCAACCCTTAATGATTTCCGTCCAATTTCTCTCCTCTCAAACCTTACCAAACCTTTGAGTTGAGTGACTAATTCAAACCCAGTTATCTGACTTTTTATAACAGAATAACCTCTTAAATCCCAACCAGTCAAGTTTCTGGCCTGGCTACTCCACTCATTCTGCCCTCATCAAAATTTTCCAAGACCTTGATACAGCCATGGATCAGCAGAAACTCATTATCCTTATTCTACTTGACTTCTCCAAAGCCTTTGACTCAGTAGACCACAAAATTCTTCCAGCCAAGCTTAAAAATATCTCCTTTTCTACTAGTGCCCTCAATCGGTTCTAATCCTTCCTTATTGGCCGCTCCCAGTATGTTGTAGTCCCCAATAACCCCCCATCAGAATTTTTACCCTTGTCCAGAGGTGTCCCACAAGCTCCTCCTTGTCCCCTACCCTTTTTTCCATCTACATCAATGACCTCCCATCCTCTATCCTACACTGTTAATACCATCTGTATGCCGACGACGTCCAGATTTACCTTTCCTTCAATCCTAATAATCCTCTGACGCCATCCAAAAATTACAGGAAGATATAACCGGACTTTGTACCTGGGCAAACCACAATAAGATTACTCTAAACACCAAGAAGATTAAAGTCATCCTGATCGGATCTCCCCCACTCCTCAAATCCTTACCAACACTCCTCAATCTTTTCCTAAACAATTCGCCTATCTCATTCCATACTTCCGTAAAAAACCTTGGTGTTACCTTTGATCAAACCCTCTTATGGAAACCACACATCTCCCAAATTTCCCGTCGTACTATCTCTACCCTGAAACAGTTTAACCGTCTCCGCTATCTCCTTCCATATAAATCCCGACAACTCCTGGTTTCCTCCTTTGTGTTCCCCCACTTCGACTATGGCTGTCTGGTGTACGGCGGACTCTCGGGAGAATTCGAGGCCAAACTTAAACGCCTAATGAATTGCGCAATACGTTTTGTTTTCGGAATCTCAAGAGATACGCATATAACCCAGTATTACACCAAGTTGAAGTGGCTCTATCCATCCAACCGCCGTCTGTACTTCCTTGCTACCTTTCTATACCAAGCCATCAGAACTCAGCGACCTTCCTATATTTTTCACAGCCTACAATTTAAATATTCCATTCAATCCCGTCCCACTAGATCCTCGTACTTCCGACCTCTATCCACCTCCTCACGAACTGCTGCGTTTGACAAATCCTTTATAATTCAAGCCGTCTCCTTCTGGAATACCATCCCTCCCGATATCCGACATGCACAATCAGTTTCCTCATTTAAATCTCTCCTTTTTAAGCACCTACTCCTTTCCCAACCCGATTGATCACGAAATGTAGATAAGAGAACTTTTTAAGTTCCCCAGAAATGATTTTGTTCACTTATGTTATTTTATTTTCCTATGTTTGTTTTACATATATCAGTAAGTTATTAGTTTTTTTTTTTCTTTCTCTTCTTCCAAATTTTAACTTTTCATTTCATTTCAAATATTTTTATTGTCTAAAGTCCTAAACCATAATAGCAATAAAAAAAAATACGGAGACCTAACTTCACACTTTTTGCAACTATAAGCCTTGCAACACCATTGTTAACAATTTAGAGCTATGGTTCAGTGGGATGATTGTTAGTGCTCTTAGAAAGGTTATCAGAACTTCAAAGAAACTTTGAACTAAATTAAATACATGTCAACCTTGTAAATAAGGTCTAGATTGTCAACATAAAAAAAAAAATAATAAACTTTATAATCCCTCTAAGAGTACTTTTCTTTAGAAATCGTTAAGCAATTAAAACCACACACAAAAAAAATAAGATGCGGGGAGGTTAACTTCATACTTTCTGCGACTTTGAAAAATTTTAACTGCTTTACTATAAAGTTTAGAAATATGGTTCATCTATCTGAATATTATAAATTTGTTTGGGGATATCTGAACTAAAAAACAAAACAAAACTACAAAAAAAATTGAAGAAAAAATCGTCCAAAATGCATGTAGAAACTGTTCAGTGTCCTTAGAAGTAAACAATTTTCTAATAATTATTATTATAACCAAAGTGCAATAATTTATATTTTATATTCTTTTTATGAAAACACTGCGAGATTATGCATCATGTTCTTGTAACTTTTCGGATTTAATCGATATAAGGATCCATTATTATGTTGTCGTGGGCACATTTTATGAAAATACTGCCGGATTTCAGATTGTGCATCCCGTTTTTGTAAGTTTTGTATTTAATCGGTATAAGAGTTCACTAGAATGTTACTGAAGGCTCTTTTTTTTTTAAATACTGACAGATTTCAGATTGCGCAATTGCGCACAAAGTTAGTGCAACTTTTCGGATATAATCGATAAAAGGATCCACTATAATTTTGTCATGGCGCTTTTTATTAAAATACTGTTGGATTTGATACTGTGCGATTGCTCATCAAGGTTTTTCATAAAAAGTGCCCCCGACAACAAGACAGTGTACCCTAACATCGAATTAATCCAAAAAGTTACAAAAACATAATGTGTGATTGCGCAATCTTCAATTGGACAGTATTTTCATAAAAATTATCCACTACAACATAATAGCAGACCCTAATATCGATTAAATCCGAAAAGTTATAAAGAAGCAATTTCAAAATAAATTTATATTGTGGAATTTAATTTTTTTTTTCAAGAAACGCTCTCTTAATAACTTAAAAAAACCTTACTTTTTAAAAAAAAATATATAAATTTAAATATTTTATA